ATATATTAGTAATTCAAGATTGAATTATTTAAAAGCAACGAAGATCCAGCTCCGACCGTAATAGGCAGTTACATTCTAGTATTAACATAATTTTCAAATAATCACAAAATTTCATCTTGCGCCGCAAACAAAATGATTTCCTCTAAGCTTCATATGTGCACAAAAAACGCAAATGTTTGACATCGTTAAACAAAATGCACGATGGTTCCATCTCTTTCACGGACAATTTGATTTTTTCATGTGTGAAAAATGCTGTTGAAACGGTAATTATATATGGAATTTAACAAATTCGTAAATATAATAGAAATATATCATGGTCTTTTGTAATTTATATTTATTTCTACTTCAAAATTCAACTTTTTTGATAACGCGTTATTAACTCTTACCGTACTAATATAGGTAACTAGTGACCGAGCGATTCCTGCTCGTGCAAGTTTCTTTGAGTGTGTGTCTTTCGGTAATTATAAATTATACTAAATACATTTTATTATTTTCCAAAATAAAGAGTTAATATTTATTCTAGAAAGTTGAAAGTATGTTGGTGAATTTTTAGAGATTTTTTGAATTATTTTGAAGAGGTGAAAAAACAAAGAGATTTGAAGTGACCCTTGATGGTATGGATGAGGCATCAAATTGTAGATGGTACGGTAAGGGTTAATTATCTACAGAAATTTTAAATATTTACTTTTCCTCTTTATTTAATGGCTAGGTCGATTTCGCAAATGCTCAGATTTCGCTCATTGCGCTGGCAGACATGCTGGCTGGTGGCAACAACAGGCGGAGTAATATGAGAAGTCGGATCGTATGTGAAAGGTAAACGCATGCGAGCGCGTGCATTTGATATCGTTGTCGCGCGCTAGGGACGCGCACCGATCGCAAAGCGTATTGTATCAGTGCCAGATGTTGAATGCGACACTGAAGTATAATGTGCTCAAAAAATGACGCAATGATTTGATTTCGCAATTTAAATGGTCCTCTCTTTTTCTGCACATGTATTTTAGTTTTTTCGCCAGTTCGCACGAAAATATCTCGTATTTTACTGAATTGTACACGGAGAGAATTGTTTGTTAAAATTTACCTTCAAAATATGGTACAATACGATATTTTAAAGATTTTTACTCTGCTCTTCAATAAAATTAATTAAATTTATTTTATATTTTATTAACAAATAAGAGAGATTTATACATTAAAATTCATCGAAATACAATGTTATCCCACGACTATCATATTTTCAGGGTAATAAACTATAAGAAAAAATTCTCTCCATGTAGCATGGTCGTTTTCATTAGCAAAAATTAAACTTTATTTTCATGTAATCTCGTATTGAGAACTAGTTTGCACAATATTGACTAAAGAATAAAGATGCGAGACACTCAGCCGTATTTTTAATGTTTAATGCGATTAAATATAAAAATAATGTTCACTGACATCTTTGTTCATTGAAATAGTTAAAAAAATGCTTGCAATAATTATAACAGAAAATTCCGTATCGATAAATGTTATCAACATAATACGGAGTTTCTGTATTGAAAATATTGTAATACAAACTTATAGCTCTATGGGTGGTATCCATAGTCATTCTTATATTCAAGACTGTCTTAACCCTTACCGTACTAATATGGGTAACTAGTGACCGAGCGATTCCTGTTCGTGCAACTTTCTCGCAAGCTCGGTCAACCCGGCGTTTGTTATTGCCACG